TCGCCGCATAGCCAACATTGTTGTAGTGGCGGAAGTAGCGAGTAGGGTATCCCCAGGCGCGGATGGACAGACCCTGGCCGTTGAGACCAGACTGAGGGCAAAAGGTAGCATCTTCCTTGAACTGCTTGGTGCCATCGTTGGCAGCGACCTGAAGCTCGAAGTTGTAGTGGCGGATGTAGCTGCCGGCGGTGTCCTTAGACTCGAAAGAGTAGCAGCCGCTGTTACCAAGACCGGTGCGGACGGTCCAGCTTGCCTGTTGCTTGAGGGCTGTGGCGCTGGAGGAGGTGACGACCTGGGTGTTGACGGTGGCGCCGGTGTGGGTGATGTATCTGTCGGTGTAGCCGGAGGTGGTGACGCGGAAAGAGTAGGAAGAGCCAACAGTGAGGGCCTGTCCGCTGACGAGGGAGGAGGTAGCGTACTTGGCCGCAACGATGTTGGCCTGGACTGAGTTCTCGGTGGCATCGGTGGGGTATCCAGAGGTCATGACACCCTCGTAGAAGGTTCCCTGGGCGCTGATGCTGTTGTCACCGCCAATGCCGAGAATAATAGCACCCTCCTTCTTCATGGGGTTGTATCCAGACGCCGTCGGACGGACGCCGCTGTAGTAGGTCGAAAGCGAGCCGGAAGCGGCGTTCGCACCGCGAATAGCCCACAGGTTGGGTCCTCCCTTGATGACCGCGGTAGTGAAGCGGGTGGTGATGCTCGGGTCGTTTGCGTTGTTTCCCGAGCTAACACCGGAGAACAGGCCGTTCTCGAGATCAGCCATGATCCACGGACCGCTGCCGGAACCGGTGCCCCAGACAGTGCTGTCACCGAAGTAGATGGCCTCCATGTGGCCGTTGCCGGTGTCGGTGCTGCTGGTCTCAGCGTTGCCGTAGTCAAAGCAGCAGCCGCCGTTGTAGTGAGTACCGTCAAGGACGGCGTACATGCCCTCGGCCGCGTCGCCGGTAGCGGTACCGCTGGCCTTGTTGTTGCGGTACCCCGTGCCGGGAGAGATGAAGACGCCGTACGCCTTCTGGCCGTTCAAAGTGACGGGTGCACCAATGGCACTGGCCAAGTTGTCGGAGCCGTCCGCCTCTGGGCCCTTGAAGGCACCTCCCGGCGCTTGAGTAAGATGGTTTCCCTTTCCAGACTGATCGTAGATGATAGTGATCAGGCAAGTAGTGCTGGCACAGAAGGTGTCTTGAGCGGCAGCATTGGCAACACCACCAGCAGACAGGGGCGCAATGTTGAGGGTGACACCATCAGAGCCACGCTTAACCTGATATAGCGAACCTGAGTACGCGCTGTAAAGAGCTCTGGTAGTGCTGTGAGCCGCGATGCAGGGCGTGCCGCCGGAAGAGTAGATATCGCAAGGTCCGGCAGAGACCAGGGAGCCGGTGGCAGTGAGGCCCAGGGCCAGGAGGCTTGGTCGTGAGAAGACGTGCATCTTGGATCAGTCTTGGCAGGGGAATGAGAAGCAGAACGGTGGAGCTGGGTCGCCTGGTGAGCTTCTAAGACTCGATGCCGAGAAGCTGGGCAATGCTTGGTCTTTTAAGTGTCGACAATGTTCATCAAGTCTTCCCGTCTTTTCATGATTTCTATGAAGACATCTCGTTCCTGAATGGAGAGCAAGGGGTGGCACGCGGTCCTCCAGTGACCATGAATTCCTCCAATAATTGCAGATCGCATTGATTGACTAATGCAACCTTCCCCACTGGTGATACGCGTCCGCTTGGACTCGCCTTGACAATGTACCATTATTGATGAAGCGGATGGCCGAATGGGCTTAGGGTGCGGGGTTGGCGTTGAAATCCATCGCAACAGAACCGGCGCCGGCAGTCCTTGTCTTTTGAGATGAAGCGGTCCAATAGAAGGATGGCGTTCCTCCAGAAGACTGCGCGATTATATCTCACGAGCAAGACAATTTGATCGCATAGAAAAATGATCTAGTGAAAGGCAGTTAAAGGCGGGTAGATCTCGTCCCAACTGTTGATCTTGAACTTGTTGTTTTTCGAATGCCGAAGTACCCCAGACCCCAGACCCCGGACCGACCCCAGTGTGTGGAGAAAGCCAAATCATGGCCAAGAAATTTGTGCCCAATGGCGGAATGCGACAAATGCTTGTTTTGGAGAAAACAATGAAGACCTTGCGGGGATGTGCTAGCTGCCGTCTCGGCGACACATGGGATAAACACGCAGATGGCACCTCAATCATGTCTAGAACAACTGTCAATGCTTCACATAAACGAAGATCTTTCAAGTTGACGACGATCTCTCCTCAAAACCAACGACCTCTACAATCAGATGAGATATTCCAGTCATTTGCGCTGATGTCTTCAGAACTGGCCGGAAGCTTGGTTCTGGCGGATTTTCCGACGGTCGCATTCGCTCAAATTGGCCAATGGAGCGCTTAACAGCCACACGGTCACGAGGAAGAGTCCGGTGCCGACGTAGCCGTGCTAAGGTCGCAATGCACGCCGGCGACTGGCGCATTTACCGTTCCCGCAGGCCCAGTTCAGCTCAGCAAAAACTAACCACTCGATGGGTCGCTAAAGTCGAGCCGCGCCAATGGGTGAGACGGCGAAGGACATGATCAGGCCAGGAACCATCACGTGTGAAAGAGCGCACGGACAAAGATCCGAAGTTTGACGATAGACCTGCCGAGATCCTTGGTGGATGCGGGACCGATCGAGATGGGCGTGAAGCCGAGGCGCGATTGAGAGAAAAAGGGGAACGGTGATGACATCCTACATAAGTGGCCGGCTTTGGGGCCGGGACTTGGACCGACGCCTGGTCTAGAAGCAGGACCACGGTCATTAATACGATCCACACCCGCTAAATTAGATAAGCGACGATACGTCAGCTTTGCTCGGATTCAACTCGGCTGCCTTTGCTTCCTCCGGTGGAGACTGCGAACGGCATTGTGCAGCATTATTCAATACATCTTACTAACTATTGTACAAGGGCGTCTGGTTCTCCTTCAGTTATTCATCGAAAACTTCATTTAAAAGAGAAGCATCAAGAACATTAGCTTGTGAAGTGAGGTAACCCTGTCGAGTAATAAGTGAAGATTACGGATCGTACTCAATTATAATTAAGGCTTCTGAAGTTACCTTTCTCTAGAATTTTGCGCTCTTGTTCATTTTGTGTCTAGGGATTTACATGTACAACAGGAAGTTTAGAGTCATCCACGCTACAGTTGATGAACAATATCAGTCAAACAGCTACCAGCTATTGTTATCGCTCCGTATGGTAGATAAGATCAACATTGCCACGGTTACTGCATGGGGTGTCATCTGTGAGACAGATCCAGTAATACGAAAGTTGCTGTATTTCTAATGCTTTTATTCTGTGTTAGAAATACGCAATGAGAAACATGACTTCGTGAATCCTCAGTAAGCCCTAAACCTCATCGAAGATCCTCTGGAAACTCTCAATTCAACAATCTTGATGAAAAACATCTACTTATCCCATCTATTCCAGTACGTCTGAATTTCCAACGTCGCTAATCAGATAATCAGAACCGGAACCCCTGGTTTCAGCCACTTGACCTTGTCGTCAACACCTTCATCCTTGAAATCCTTAGCTAATCCTTCCTCGAACTGAGTGAAATGACCTCACGACTTATCGTAATGCATGGGCACCAAGTGATCTGCCTTGATCTCTCGGAATAATCGAGCCGCCTGCTTGCCGTCCATGGTGATCTGCAGCGGTGTGTCCATGTCGGGAAGCTGCACATGAGCGAATCCAAGATTCATCATGGCAATGGGAACGTGGAACCTGTCGACAATCTTGGTCAACTCGTCGTTGAAGACCGTGTCGCCGGTGAAGTAGATTGCGTTCGGCAAATTTTTCGGTCCAATCCCGAAGTCATCAGAGGATACCAAGAAGCCAATGCATTCACCGCCGGGCAGGTGCTGGCACGGGGTGGCGGTGATGCGGAAGACTTTGCCGCCGATGTGTCTCTCAACAGTGTCCCATGGCTTCATGCCAACTACCGCCGGGCGAGGTGCGAGATTCTTGGCTCCGTCCATGGTAGTGAAGACGTGTCGGCCGTCAAGTAGCCTACGGCCCAGCTCGTCGAGATTGTCGGGGTGGTCTTCGTGGCTCAGGAGCACTGCATCGATTGGAGGAAGCTGATCAAGCCTGAGAGCGGGGTCTTCGGTGTTTTTGAGGATAGTGATGCCAGCGTCCCAAGTGGTGCCTGCTGGCGAAAAGAAGGGGTCGGTCAAAAAGCGCACGCCATCGATCTCGAGGATGGCAGTCGCAGTTCCGATGTGAGTTATGCTCACTTTGGGCTTGAAGCCGGTTCCGGAAGACATTGCTGGAGGTTTAAACTGAAAACGTGCGTTGTTGGATCTGGATCGGGTTGGAATGGTTGTCGGTGCATACTGCAACTGAAACCAACATCTACTGGGTGTTATCGCTACTATTTATGTTCCTTGAAATGTTTCGAAGTATTTCTTACTGGGGCTGTAATAGCTCCGACGTTTCTCGGAAATTTCAAACAAGGCTTTCTCACGTCTGGCGATCCCATGACTTGAAACTTGCAACCATGATTCAGCAAGGGTCGTTTTAACAAATCCATGTAAGCCGCCGGTTACCAACCCAAAAGCATGCGATGGTTGGTAGCCCCGCAGTGAATAGACACCATTTATACGTGGGCTGAAAGTGGGTTTGACAACAAGAACGTTAAAGTCACTTGCCTTTCAGTAAAATGAGGTCATCGATGGCAGGTTCCCCGCCTAATCTCTGTAACCAACGATCAGCCTTGCCATTCTGCATCTCGTATTGTGAAAAATTGCGGTGATAGCAGGAGCTCGTACTTCTGCTGTAACGTAAATTCACGTGCGAGTGAACCCTTTTGGGAATGAGGTTCTATGAGGCAGTACGTGTATGGACTTCAAGAAGGGCAATGATTGCTCTATGTGGATACAGAGTCAGTCCCACTCGAGAAGCCGCTCGTTTCTATATTTTGTAGCTGTAATCTGTGCGCTTTCTGACATAGTAAGGCGGCTTTTACAACGTATGCTTTGCACTCTTTGTATCAGATCTGTCTACATTACCAGCGAACGGACTAGAACACTTACCCGCTTGCCACACTTGTCCAATATGGAGAACGGAGTCAAGATACGTTTCAACCTTTTCGGGGTCTGTGCCAATGTCCCCACAGGAAACTCGATATAGTGGCCTCTCTGCAAGCTCGGCAACGCCCTCGGCTGTTAGTGTCTTCCCTGTTCCAGGCCCGCCATGCAAAAGAATCATGGCGCCTTTCCCCTTGCCTTCGACAATATCCGGAGACATATCTGACGAGACGTGTCCCCGAATCACAGCTTCAATGAGCTCCTTATGATTGTAGTCCAGTACTAGCTGCTCAAAGGCATTTTTGTTCCATTCGATGGCGCTGATATGCTCGACCTTTAAAGTCCCTATTGACATCGTCAGTCACGTCCAGTTGAAACACCTGTCTCGTTGTGGTGAGAGCTCAATCCACTTCTTATCATGCATGCCAGACCCGAGCAAGGTCGGCGGCAAAAGGAGCAAGAAATTGTCACATGGAGGTTCACCCCTGCACAAGATCTCGTAGGCTAAAGTCTGTGTGCTTTTAGGGGAATCTTCCTGTTTATCGTCATCCGAATGAAGGGTCTTGTACATTTCCATGTCGATCATGTATCGTGGGTTAGACTGCTTGGTTTTAGCTTCATGCATCAGACTGCGAAACATGGGCTTCATACCGCACGGATTTCGAAATGCGAAATTGGTGCATTGTAGGCAACAAATCTTCGCGTTCGACACGACCAAACCTTTTCACCAGACCCCCTCAGTGCAGCCTTGAATTTACCCGTCCGGTCAAATCGCAACGGATACATTGACAGTCCTTCTATATTCAAGGGACCCTCCTCGTTCGGTGGCAATTCGAGTTTGAAGACTTTCTCTTGTTTAGTGAAGCTCCCGTCGAATTCCCAGCTGAAGCAGGGAAGCTCCCAAGGGACTCTCGACGTAAGCAAGCTTCCGCAAGTGGCGAATCCCCTTGGCTTTCCTTGCTCAAAACTGACAACGATATCTTCAGGGCGAAAGAGCATACTGATGTGGCTTTTCTTTACCAGCCCTTGGGAAAACAGTAGCTCAGCCTCGGCATATGATGGCCCGAATGTGTCTTCCACATAGTTCACTAACTGAATAGCATGCCGGCTTTGGTCTTCACTGTGTCCCTCATGTACCCTCGATCTGATGAAAGATCTGGCATGATAAATTTGGATATAAGGAGGTCGAAGCTCCCCTTCCCATCCAGACAACGGGTTTGGTTTGGTGTCGGCTAAAGCCTCCATCGTTCGGCGAAGCTGTTTGGATACGTGAATCTCGTCACTTGTTGACTTCGCGAGTTCAGTGTCATCGTCGAGAACATCAAAATAGGGCCAAAGTTCCTCGGGAATAGGCGGATCCAGGCATGGCGACGGGTTTCGGGTAAAGTGGTCCTCCACATCCTTGTGGAAGCGCTCGCAGTCGTAAAGTCGAACAACGATCAAATTGCCGTTCCCGGAAGATTCAATGCTTCTCTCAGGACTATGAATGGGTAGGTTGCCCCTCAAGGCACTTGCTCTGCTGTCTCCCTTGAAAAGACGGGGGACGTCTTGATACATGGTGCTCTGCGCGTGTCTCTTGTGGCCGCTAGCCTTCTTTCCACACTGAACATGGTGAAGTACCGACACCGTTGGTCCCAAAGATGTATCTTGGATCTTTTGGAACTCTGATGCCTCCAGATTCAATCGCTTTTGGGCAGGCCAGCTGACAGGGTGCATTTCCTGGTGCGAGCATTCGACCTGCGGGGTTTCTTCCCTAGGCCGTTTCCGAATGCATGTGTTGTCAGGGTTGGACATGTGTAACCTCTTTCCGTTATGAGACTATCAAGATGCTAAGCTGAGCTAGGATGATGGACGACGGGAGTGTTGTATCATATGACGGGTTAAATGTATGGTGGCGCAAGGATGGAGAAGTTTTGAAATGAGCTGATTGCTTATCACTCAGAATCCCACCCTCAGTTCTGTCCTGTGACTTGACACGCGGCGAGCTGTGATTGGTGCGCGTCCGAAGGCCATATTCTGCAAGAATCCTCAACTACGAGGAAATAAGACAATATGTCCACTTATCTGGATGGTGGACTTGTTTACTCGCCAGCGTTGGGCCGTAAAGATTTCACTTAGTCGTAGGCATGAACTAATTAGCAAACACCAGTTGCGTTGGGCCTTTCAAGTATCATTCAAATTGATACATGCATTTGATATTTTTTTAAGAAATGTTCAGTGTATGAAAGAATGCTGCTTCTTCTACAAACTGATAATATGCCGGAACAAGATTGTCAACCCCATTCCTAATCCGTCCTCTTTCTACCGATTCGCAGGTAATGCAACCTGCTGCATACTGCAGTATTCACACCTCCGGTGTTGACAACTGGGACAGAAATTGTCTCTTCCAGCATTCAGAGGCCCTGTGCTACAATTCGACTAGGAATATGTGTCAGTGGTATCAAGTCTCTCTGTTGGGGTGTGGTAGTTCGTACACAATACCAGACCCAAGCATATGTCACAGCAGGTTTTGTTTTGCCGCCTTGACGTCCAGAACTTTTGCCGCTGAATGATGTCGAAGAAGATGCTCTTGAATTTTGACTCGAGTTTCCAACAGCTACGAGCTTTTCTTTGTTCACTTTCGGTTGCTTAGTACAATCTTTCGAAATTGTTTGACTCGGTGCCTTTCCGTTTGATGGCATTGTGGGGGCGGATGTCGTGGAAAGTCGAACAACACGCACAGGCCAATCTCATCCACGTTTATCATTATCAAATTCTGTTTCCATGTATCGCAGGACAACAAAGTTGCATGAGCATGGCGGATAGAGAATTTGTCTAGAGAATCCAAATGTGGGCTCTCTAGGGAGTGATATATGAAATGAGGGGAAAGATAAAGGTTGCCTGATGGGCTGTGTAACGTGGTAGGCACTCGGTGGCTCCAGTTCGTATGCATCCGCGATTGGTTACTCCGGACAGGGGAGCATTCCTCTCCTGGCGTAGGCAGACAATCAGGCTGCCAAAAGCAAACCCAAACCCAAGGCTGAGTTGGGGCGCAGCTCCCTCTTCCACTAGACAACCAAGATGGTCTTGGTCACGTTCAGTTGATTTTGAGACGCTTTCATGCTGTTAGAATACGTACGTGACCGGCCTAGAGCATGTGTTTCGTCAATTTTGGTAAACAGTGGGGTGGACTCATTTGCATCAGGTCATGTTCGTGTACGGACGGGTCTTCGACGTATCTTGTCAAGGGGAAACTTGACGAATGACAAATTTGGAGCGAGACGACCCACTGAGGCCGGGGAACTGATGTTATGTTTGTAATTGATCACCCTCCTACCTCTATTTTTGCCAATCTTTGCACCAGGAAAGTGAGCGTTGAAACTAAGACCCCCCCAGTCGCTACAAATACTTGGCACATGTCCTTTCTAATCAAATCAGCCAGTCATGGCGGTCGCCTCTACTAATCGTCTTCATTGATAGATCCCATTTGAACCAGGATTGACACTGAAGCGATTATGAGACCTACCATAGACTCAGACCATTGCCTCAGTGTTCTCCAAATCCGCGCCGTTTTGGTGTTCCTCGATGTGGCGTCATGAATGAGCTGAAATATTTGAGATCGGGGTTAAAGGTTGTTGATAGCTTAGAAATGCTGGATGGCGGGGCTTTTTGTAAACAGAGGTGTGGTGTTCTGCCGACTTTTGAACCGTCTTTAGATCCTCTTGTGTAATCGTTGCTTTTGCGAGCTGCGTCATCTCCAATGCGTCCTCTGCTGTAATTCCTGGTACCACGAATGGCCTTGAGTCGAGTTTGGACATGTCGCGGTCTTCAAGAACGTGAACATCAAGGTCCGATTGCGGATCGAATGTCAATCAGCGCTTAGGACAGTGAGGATCAATTTTGACCTTCCGGTGCTTGATTATTCTGCGCAGTACAGGTCGTATCTGGGGCAATTGTCGATGGCCGTTTAAAGGATAACATGGAAAATACAGACCGGCAGAACGCGCGCCTTTCTTCTTTCGTCCTCTATCAAATATCCGCGGTTACCTTTCGCCTGGCAGTTCCGAGTCCCGCCCTCGACTCCCGCTATATCTCTTTCTTTTAGTTCTTGAAAGTATCATGCCTCCTTCTATTGATGGTGGTGACGCCTGGCCTGGCAACTGCTAAGATGACTTGTGTAGGGCGAGGTCCCACCTGCCATGCTGGAAAGCACATGATCTCTCTCGTAAAACACGATGTTGCTTCGAGTGGTCGTGCGATATCGTTCGATGCGTGGCAGGGCTCCGGAGTGGTTTAGTCGGTCGGTTCAGGTCGAGGAGCATGCTCGTAGAGTGAAGCAGGAAGGGAGATCGATCGTTGGAAGACCGGAGATGGCCCAGGGAAGAGACAGAGTCGCGCCCAGCGTGCCCCTGAGGCATCGCCGACGTCTGGCCTGACTCGTCGCTCTGGGACCATGTAGCCTGGATTGATCCAAGTCTCTTCACGTCATCGGAATGACGTCCTCGCGGTTGTTTGGTAGCCATGCTGATTCAGAAATTGTGACTGGGGCCGTCGATCGCTGGACATGCATGTCCTGAAATTGGAGATTAAAACAAGCGGAAATTGTGACAAACGAAGCGGAAAGAAATCGACATGGCTTATGGTCAGGTGAAGAGGCTATGCTATATCGGTGAGATGGCTTTCCCCATGATCTACGAAAATTTGTTCGATGGCCCGCGGCTCTACGCTTCAGCTTCAGGCTTGATATGTAGAGGACGTGGCTAGTCAATGAGAACGAGCACTAGGATCACAAGTACTCACCTGGACGAGTATCGGGGAACATGCCATATTCAGACTGGGAACGAGCATTGATATTTCGATGTGTATCTACCGCATCTGTCTTGCTTTCTTAAATGAATTCTCCCTGGCGTCCTTCCACCTGGTGAAGTCGCTGATAGGGCTCGCCTTATGTCAGCATAAATGGATCAATAAGGGTCGGATCGCAGGAGCCCCTGTCGCATTCTCAGCGACTGGGGTCTCGCATGGAGGTTCCAGAAGGAGTGAAAATAACTCGGGACGATATCACAGCTTATCGGTGGACATCCGAGACGGGTGACACGGGGGACCCGGGGAGGGTTGGTCGCGATGCGCTAATCTTGGAGCAAGATTTGGAGTTGCAGACGGGGGGCTTCTTGGCAGGCATTGGACGACGCCTCGGGGGATTCTTGGGGTGTCTCATGATTGACAACGGGGATCGCTTGCTGACAGTCAGAGGTGGCGGAACGTTGCGACGGACGTTGGGATGACTGGGCGATGACAGGTAGAGTTCACCACGGCCGTTGAGGAGATGCGGAGGGGAGCGAATACGCAGCAGCAATACGAGGAGAGAGAGAGCATCATCAAGATTGCAAAAGAGGGCAGCCAATCCGGTGAGTTGAGCAGTCACACAACCTGAAAAATTAGGTGCATAGCGTCCGGTCTCCGGGCGGAATGCGAGAGGAAGGAGCAAAATGTCAGCAATGGGCCTCAGGCGGAAGGGGCGTCGGTGACGTAGCGACCGGAGGTGCTCCTGGGAAAGTGCGTGGAACGGGCTTGCAGCTGGCGGGGACGGATTAGGTAATTGCCTTTTGCTAGCCAGTGCCGGTCTCACCTTCCCGTCTGAATCTGTCCCTGGCGCAGAAACAGTGGGGAGGAAGGAAGGGGGGCCGAAAGCGAAAGGAAGGCGGTGACCACTTTCCCGTTTGGAGAGAGGCACCGTTCCACAATGTCACCGTCACCGGCCGTCCGTCCACTGATTGTCTGACTGCAGTGCGCCTGCCAAATCAAAG